CTGAGTTAGCGGTTTACTGACCAAATCAACATTTTTTGACAAAAATCCAATTTTAAGGAAAACTGGAACCAATCACCTAACCAGTTCCCGATTTTTCCAGTCCAACCATTCGATCCAGTCCAGTTTTAAAAACAATGGGTCCTACCATACTTGGAAAGGGAATAAATGGTTGAAGCACCCCAGCTAGTGACTGTGCTAAATACTTTTACCACATGCCAAGACAAAATCTTGGATAGCCTTTCTCATCCCTGACAAATAATAATGATTGGCAATACATTTATTAGTCCTCAAAAACACCTGAATGGAAGAGGTGAATGAAATTTGGTAAAGGGCTAAAGGTGTTGAAAGAACCATACAAAAAGCATCACACACAGGATAACAACCTAGAACTACTAGGAGTAACAGAAAAGGCAGGTTTGTGATTTGTCTTTTAACACAACTTGCCAACCATCTTCAAACATCTTTCCAACAAAAGTTACAAACCAGACCCATCTTGGCTAATGCATGAGCTGTCTCACTTGCTTCACAGGCAGTTCAACAGGGAGTTGCTAATGCATGAGCTGTCTCACTTGCTTCACAGGCTGTTGAGTTAATAAGTTGGCTCAACTCTGCTTCAAAGATAACTTTATTCCATCCTTGGTTTATAGCAAAAACTACCACTTGGAGCATAGCTTTTGCTTCAACGATCAAGGCTGAACTAGCAATATAGGACCAAACTACCCCAACAACAACCCTATTCATCTCTGATCACAAATCCAAAAGAAGCTGCTCCATTGGAACTAAAACCACCAGTCGAATTGACTTTAATGAAACCAGAGTCCGGTGGTATATTCAAAAAGAATTTTTCCTGGGCTTTTTTCTAGGAAGTAAAGAACCTCTCGATTTCAAAAATCGAGACCCCATTTGGCATGTCTTTCCACATAGTTTGTCGGCTATCTACAAGCTTGGCAGATCGCGATTCGGTCTTTTTCTATTTGGTTAATAGTAAATTTAGCCATCAAAATCCAATGTGTCAAAAAAACGCGAGAAACCTAAAATGGGCAATTTTTGGGAAGCTCCAAATGGAACTTTTGCATTTTTTTTCCCAAAAATGCAAAAGCTCAATGGAGCTTTAACCAAACGGGCTTCAAACTACTCAAATCTTAATGCAAAAACTCAATACGTCATTTAACTATCAAACTACTAGAAGATCTTCCCAAAAAGATTTTCCAAACGGCCTAGTCTAAAATATCTCCACTATGGATTTGTGAATTAAAAAAATAATAACCAAAGGGTTAGTGTTCTCACTTTCAAAAATAAAAACATTCTTGTCCTTCCATATTTCTTATGGAGTTGTAGCAATTTGAGTCATCAGATTGTTTAATTTACCCAAGTCCTTTATGATTTGGTAAAACCATCTTCCAAAATGTGAGGGGATAGAATCTTTTGAAGGCTTGACCCCACAACCTACTCCAATACATCTAGCTTGTCACACAAGAGTAAGGCATGTACAATGACTCTTCATCTTATTAAACCTTAAGCAAACTAATGAATCAAGAATTTTCTTACTGGCCATATTTTTGCTAAACTAAGATGACCATTACAACAATATTTCCAAAGAAAATTCAGGATTCTAGGTTCCACAAGGATTTTCCATAGAGAATACCAAAGACCTTATTGGGTCTAGTTTGGTTTCAAGTGCTCAATATTTCATGTCAGGTTGGATCCAATTATAGTTTGTCCCAACCCACACCCGACCCATTGACAACCCTAACTATATACTAAAATCCATCAAATAAAACAAGTGTGAATTTTCAAAAGTAGAGCCTAAAGGCATTGTTCTTCAAAGCTTGGAATTTAGGATGCAAATGGATCAGTCAGATTGGATTCAAATTGTGGTATATCCAAATTTGATTTGATACTATGGAAAGTCGATCCAATCCAAAGATTCAATTAAATCTCATAAACAAATATTTGAATTCAAATCTGTCAAAGAAATCGGATATTCAAATATGATCAAATTCAATTTTATTTTTCTTAAAGTTAATAAATTATATTTAAATAAAACAAAAACAAAAAAAAATACAAGTATCTTATTTATAAATAGGTAGGGAGTGATTAGAAATCGATCTGATCCAAAATGGAGATATCTAAATCTGACAAAATGGGATTGAATTTGAAATCATATCAGATCATAATTCAATCCATTTGCACTATGACAATATTTTTTCATAAAAAAAATAGTATGACAATATTTCTAAATGGACAACCCTTGTAGGTGTACCTTAGAATCTTGGATTTCAATGTCCATCATTAATTTAGCCCAATCACAGACCAAGAGTCTTAAGCATGGTTTTAAAAAATAACCCAGAAATAAAACCATTCTAGCCATTGATTTTCGGGTCAACTGTTCAACCATCCAATTTGTATAAATTTGTATAAATGGCCCATTTTAACAAAAAATAATTAAAAAAGTAAAAAATAATTAAAAATAAAAAACAACCAAAAACTATTGGACGAATCAATGGATCAACAATTTGATCACCCAGGTCAACAAGTCATTGACTAATTTAACAGTTTTTGGCCAAAGACTGAGTTTAGGATAAAACAAAAACGATTAACTGAATAATTCCCGGGCCAAATGATCTGACCATACAGGTCAACAACGGTTCAAAAACCTTGACTTAACCATTGTATACCATATTTGTGATTCTAGTGGGCAGAGATCAAATGGAAAATCTCGAATTATTACCATTGGCTACATGTATAGTAAATTATAGTGTAATGAACCGATAATCCCAACTATTTCACCAATCCATTGGTACTGGACCTAAAGAGTTGGGATGGCAATTGGGCAGGTTTGGGTAGATTTGGGTGATTTGCCCATCAACCCATTAATGACCTATTTGTGAAAAATTAAATAAGTTTACGTTCAACCCAAACCAACCATAACCTACCTAAGTTAAAAGAAAAAAAAATATTATCATAAAAATTTATAAAATAACAAAAAAATTGAAAAAATAACATAAATTACAAAAAACCAAAAAACAAATGAAAGAATAACATAAATTAAAAAAGCCAAGAAAATGAAGACAAATAGCATAAATTACAAAAAACTAAAGAAATACACAAAATAATAACAAAAAATATAAAAACAAAAAATTACAAAAAAACCGAGATTGCATAATGATATAATAAAAATTATAGGAAAGCATAGAAAATGAAGAAAAATTACAAAAAACAAAGAAAAACTAAAAATTGCAAGAAAAAATAACAGAAATTCAAAAATGATATAAAAAATCATAGAAAAACATAGAGTGAAAATAAAATTACAAACTATAAAATACTGGAAAATTGCAAAAATTTATAGAAAAAAACACCGTTAGGCAAAATGCCTCTCATCTTATACAAGGATACTTGCCACTTAAATATCTAACAAAGAATAACAGTAGCCCCATTGCAAACACACCCCTTAATACTATTGATTCCAGATTCTAATGAGCGCCTCTTCCCCCAAAGAAGAGTTGAACAGAGGCAATCCAAAATCTCCAATAAAGGTTTTTCTTCCTCCAACAATCCATCTTCTTCCAATTAATACTACCATCACATTAGGCATTAGGGTTCTAGTCCAAAGAGAGTTGTAGAGGAGACTTGTCTCCCTCAGATTCAAAGGTTCGGAGTAACGATTCATTTTAATAAAAAATGAACAAAACCTAAAAAAGTAGCGATAAAGAGCGATACGCCAGTGTCGATATTTTGAACCTTGAATCTCAAATATGTAGAGGAGACTGCCCTCAGACCTGAAAGTCGTAATGGAGACTTAGACTTAGAGAAAATTGTCGAGATTTCTCTCCAAGAATTAAACAAATGATGAAGAGTTTAAAATCCCTATTACATGGATATCCGTTACACCCATGACCCTACCCGCCCAGCCCAATTAAAATTTTTTTATCAAGTTCACCCACCCGCTAAGGACCCAGTATTAAATATTACGACCCAACCCACTAATAAATAGGTGGGTTGAGCGGGTTGGATGAAAAATTTCCGCCCGGCCCGCCCCTACTGAAGAGGGTCAAGCCTGTGAATTTTTAACATGGAAGCGATTGAGCCTTACATTTAAAGCATGATCTGAATTTCTATCAGACGACGCTCCCGTCGGTCTTCATCAGAATCCTCAAAACGACTGTTGGAATCTTCATTGACCTTGGGCATTAGTCTTAGGCACGTTCTGACAACAAAACTGTTACTCCAAAATCTCCATTCTATTTTTTCTAATTACTATCAAATTCCAAAACCATTCTATTCACATCCCCAATTGACAATTTTACCAGTCTGTTAATTCCTACAACAAACCAAAACAAGCATTTAATAAAAATAAAATACAAGCATTCTAATCCACGGATGATGGCTACTTAAAAATTGGGGACAACGGAAGTTCAATCTCACTTTGTTCCTAAATCCTACTTGGTCAATTTTATTAAAATTTTAATATACAAGCATAACATTTTACAACACTACATATAGCACCGCTCACATCTTTTGTAGAACGAGACCCCAGTGGATTCGAACCACTAACCTCTCAACCAAAATTTTGGTGTGAGCGCTCTACCGTATTTGAGCTAAGGGATCTAGAGAGAAATAAATACACGAATTGGACTATAATCATCAGCATACAACAAACATCCGTCCTGACCGTATTGGATGGTCAGGATGACACTACTGACACAAGTTTAACGGAGGATTGACAAGTGAATTTTCAAGTATAAAACCATCCTGGCACAAGGCAGAATCACCATTACACTACCTCTCAAAATAAACACCAAAATATTTCATAAAGTATAAAAGGTTATGTAGTCATTAAAACTATTCCAGGTTGAGTTTCACAGAGCAACTTAAGGCAAGCCGATTTGAGACAAATCTTTAGAATATATAAAACACCAACGAAAGAGTCGATAACAAATTAATGACAAAGAAAAAATATAAAAAAGTTGGCAACATAAACATGTTAGCAAGGTGGTATGGACGTTGGAAGTCAGGAAGCTAGGGTGTCGCATATATAACTATTACAAATTACAAGCGTCACAGCTGCAAATTAACCAGAAAAGTTGCACTTTACAATGCGGAGACATTACTCTTCACAAATGAAGAACAATATAAAAAAACCAAGTTACTAACAACACCAAATTAAAGAAACATGTACATACTGAGTTGAGTAAAGTCTAGCATCAGATATACGATTAAAAACCTAAAGACTCTAGAAATAAGAAACTTGTGTTGAAAAAAATGCCAGCATCATAATAACCTCCATTTACCTATACCATCATCAAATTTGAGAAACTCCAGCATCTAATTCGAAGTCCGAAAGGTGCGACCGACAGCATCGGCAGAAGTGACTGAACCTCTCAGCTTCAGCGCCAAAATGAATGCAAAAATTAAGACCAATTTGGATCATTGAGTAAACCATGATCACCAAAAATCAACAAAAAAAAGAAACAACCGTCGAGATAAACAGTTGGACCACCGTCATCCTCCGCAGCGACTAATTGAACATGTTCAGGATTGAGATTTCTCTGAACTTGATAACAAATTGCCAATTCGACTCTTAATTTACAATCAATAACAATCCAACAAGACGTAATTCTGTACACATACTTCTCGACTGAAGAAAATCCAGCCATGGACCACACAAAAATACAACATCAAGCTGATGGTATATATTATAAACATATTCATCGGAAGAGTATTCAAGCATCGCATGCCTAATAAACTGGATACAAGCGCCTAATAAACTGGATACAAGATCATAATAATTGATGTAAAAACAAATTTAGACGAAGGGCAGTGAAAATTGGTGGGACCATAAAAGGTTAATAACATTTGCAAATAAATGAACTTAATTTTAGAGATGAAATTAAATTTGATAGTATTTTCTGCACTAAGGTAGAAAAGTTGCAACAGAGAACATGAAAATATATCGATGAGACGTACTTTATTGCTTGCAGTGGGTAAAGATGAATGAATTGGAATTGAATGAAAATTCAGGACTATCTCATGTGTACCTTTGAGTTTGAGTCGATGATGATTTCCGTCCTTCTACTACGCAAGGGATCACAAACAAACAGGGCAAATTGAATGGAAATTCAGGACTATCGCATGCGTATACCTTTGGAGTCGAAGATGATTTCCGTCTTTTTCCTGTGATCACACAAGGGATCACAAACAAATGGGCGAGGTGGATCTTAATTCCACCGGTGCTATTATGAATCGCCGATCAAGGGCTATAGGAAGAAAGAGAACACAAAAGGCACACCAGTGGGAGAGACCCCGGGCAATAACCCCGTGCGATCTCCCCAAGAAACCAAAACAATAAGAATTTTATTAGGGTTCTTTTTGACCTGCCATGCAAGCGCACCTAACATGGCAAAGGTCCGGTGACAATAGGCCCCCTCCTACATCCTTTACACAGCATCAGCAAGACAGCAACAACTTGTCGATTCGTTTCCCACGATAACACATCTGATCAAACTTCATCATCGATATACAAAGAAAATCGATAGATCAAAGTGTTCACCCGCATTCGTACGAACTTGCATCGCCTATCAATAAGACTCGTCCAACACCAAAAGATCTGTAAAAACAAAACAATTCTACCATCTCAACTCCTCGATTTGAAGCACCGCGTCTGCTCCCATGAACCGAAAATTGATCCGACGGCATCGGTCGAGGACAAAGAAACCTGCAAACAAAATAAATAATATATACAAAAAGAAAAATAACAGATCTGATTAAGATACCACCGAATTCGGGAGGGTTCCGCCTATATCAGCTACGACTCGGGGAAGGCATTGGACCGGGTCGACCTCAAATTATTTTCGAACTTGGAAGAGAACGATGGTGCAAGGAACGTATGCCAAACCAAAGAAAGACAGAGATAGGCTACGGCAACGCCGACTTCCGCGAAAAAAAGTCGCAAGATTCGAGGGTGGTGAATAAACAAGCAGAGAAGAAGTATTAAAGCTGGGGAAAAGCCCTCCCTCAAATAACTGTGACGGATCTATATTCAAGAGATTGAAGATAAAAAGAAAACATGGTAACGATACCGGGATCAAAACGTCGATCACAAGGCGATCCAACAACTTCCAGAGGCAGACTTCAAAACGAAGAAAAACAGAAAAGTAGATCTAAAATAGCAACGACATGTTTTAGATACAAATACCACGGAGGGCATGACGGATACGCCATAACAGGGATTCTCAAAAAGCCGGCATCAAGACGCCGATCAGCAGGCGATCTAACAACTTCCTGAAAAAAAAAAACCAAAACGTAGAAAAACAGAGAAGTAGATCGTAACGAAGAGCAGAAAGCAAGCAGAGGACGGAAAAAGTGAAGCGGGGAGCGACCCTTATTTATGGAAACCCTAGAGAGAATCGACGGACATGAAGGGATAAGCTGTTAAAGATCCACGGTCCATATGGGTCTACGTAATGAGGCGGTGCTCCTGTTTTTCGCATTAAGGCGGTGGGAAAGAATCGTGTTCTCTCTGTCGACTTTTCTTTGGTCCATTGATTGAGTACACGTGTCCTAATCTCTTGGCTGTTACTTTTCAACGATACATCACATGGAACTCGTCAGAGACGCAAATCCACCTAACCTCCGCTAATGGAATTATTGGAAAAGACAAAGACACCCTGTTTATGTTTCATATAACAAGCTTGTAAAAAGATATTTTGTGGGGTTTTTCTGTCCCATAGAAAGTTTTCTACCGATAACAAGATGGTCAAAACCACCTACAACTTGTTTGCCTTGTGGGGAGGTTAGTAGCGAGAAAAAGGGAAAAACTTGTTGCTGGCCAGTTGGTCCTATTCTTGGCTTGGTTGATCGGTCCTCTCGAGTCTATAACCGTTTGATTGGCATTTTTAACTAAGGTCGATATGATAATTTTTGCTTTACCCTAAAAAGAAAATTATTTTTGAGGCTATTATGCTTCACTACAATCAATTTTTCATTTTTCCTGTACTTATTTTGTTTTAAGGGCACATGCAAATGAGCTTCTAGAACCACTGCGAATCGTCTGCGCTAAGGGGTGCAAATGGATCGCGATCTATTGTTTGATTCGGATATATGTGTTTCGGATTTTCGGATCACCTCTTATTCGATTTGAAAGGATGCGATCTGATATATATGTTTTGTATTTATTTATTTATATATAATATATATGTATATATTATTTATTTATTTATTTATTTATAAATATGTAATTTATATTGACTTTTTATAAATTTTTTATATTATTTATTTTTTATAAAACATGTATAATATTGATGAAAATAGTTGACAAAATACTTATATATTTTGTTATTTTTTATTTAAATAATTGTATTTTTTCCTTTTAATAATTTATTACATTTTTTAAAAATTAATTCGAATCCGATCATATTAGAATATCTGGCGTCTTAATCAGATTTGAATTCAAATCACTATTTAAGATATTAGATCGAATTGGATCGGACCGAACCAAACCTATAATATTTTTCGGATCGGATTCAAATATACCCTAATTCGAATCTGATTCGATCCATTTGCATCCATAGATTCTATTGGAAATTGGATTTGGTCCTTACAAGGCAATATTCACACAGTTCGTATAGTCCCTTACAACCTTGCATTGGGAATATCTCCCTATGGATAGGATTGTTTACAAATAAATCCAAACCGACCAACCTAACCCGACCTAACCCGAGTTGATTGGTTTTTCTTCACTACCAGTCAGTTCGGGTTACAAAGATAAGTAAACTGATAATTCGGTTTGGTTTCGATTCTCATATGTGAAAATTGAAATCGAACCGAACCGAACCGAGTTATGTGAAAAAAATAGATATTCTGAAAAAAAATATATATATGTTAAATATAGCTATTTTAATTTTAAATAATAAATATATATCTGAAAAATATATTCTGAAATATATCAGATATATATTTCCATAAATTAGAAAATATATATTTTGATATATTTGTATATATGTTTTGGTTTTAAATATATATTTTCAGAAAATATATTCTGAAATATTATATATAATATTAGCACTTTAACTTTATATGCATTGTGCAAGATTGGAATTGGTTAAAACCCAAACCGACTCAAACCGACTAGATCGATTTTACTTAATAAAAGGTCGGTTTCAATTGGATCTATAAATAACTCGATCAAATCAGATTGATTGAAAAAATATTAATAAACCGACCCAACTCATCCCATGAACAGCCCTTACCTATGAAGATATTTCTTTTCAACGAATGGTTGTAAAAGGTTATACAAAACTACGTGAACACGGTCTTGTGAGAACTGAAGCCGATTTCGCTTTACGGTTATTGGCAAAGGCTAGTCCACATTTTTCTTTTTGATGCAAAAGCAAAGTATCATGGGCTACACAACACAAGGGGTAGCCCTCCCTAGATAATCAAACAAACTATATATTAAGACTTTGAAAAAGGTTTGACCTCAAAGACACCTACCCTCTACCCTCAAAACCCAAATTAGCTAACCAATTTGCAACAAATTTTACTTCTCTAAATACATGGGAATATTGCACATTTAATCTATTCCTTTCGCAAAGGAGATAATAGCCGTCTATAATGTTTTTAATACTCCATGGCGGGATATCATGATCCCTTAAACAATCAATTACGAACTTTGAATCACCCTCAATGATCAAATTTAGTCCTGAAAACTCAATAGCCATACAATTGGGTTTAGAAGGCAGACCACACTCTTATGCAATACTAATTGAGCAGAATCCAATATATTTGCTACCGGTGTATAAGATCTGACCTTGATAATTTCTTACAATACACCCAATTACAGTAGCTCCATCAACGTCAAAATTAATTTTTAAATTGGATGCACTAGGTGGGATTCATCTTGATGAGGGCGGATTTGGCCCTCCAATAATATTGTAACACATGTTACTTTGGAACAATTAGGTGACACCTGGAACCATTTAGGCAATAACTTGCCTTAACCAAGTTGATGGTGTCTCATCCCGCGGCCTGGCATAGGAGCCGACCTGGCAGTCTGGCATAGGCGCCGACCTGGCGGCCTGACCCAAGCGTGACCTGGCAGCCTGGCACAGGCGCCGACCTAGCGGCCTGGCACAGGCGCGACCTGGCGGCCTGGCCCTGGCACGACCTGGCACAGGCGCCGACCTAGCGGCCTGGCCCTGGCACGACCTGGCCCAAGCGCCGAACTAGCGGCCTAGCACAGGCACCGACCTAGCGACCTGCGAGACGTGCTCGCCGACAAATTCGTCATGCATATCCTAACACTCCCACGATCCTTGGAAGTTGGCCCACATGCCGAACGATCTGGAGGGTGGTCAACGTGCATGGCTGTTGCCTCAGGGAATCTTGGACCACTTAGACGACTTCTCGGAAATCTCGGATGCGGTGCATGAAGCCCACGCCAAACAATGCCTATATAAAGGCACCAACCCCAATGGCATAGGGGGGGCAATTAAGCATATTCTAGCTCTCATACTTTGTGATTTTTAGCTCGCAATCTACTATGAGAGTACTGACTTAAGCATCAGAGCGACCTCACCGGGTTAGCCACCCCGGGTCCTCTGACATTGATTCCTTGCAGGTCTCTAAAGAACTATGAAGCTCAACAATTAATCCAGCTCACCACCAGGCATCTCGACACTCTGGTCAGCTCGACAACTAATAGGCAGCTAGGCCCTCTGGTCAGCTCGGCAACTAATAGGCAGATCGGCACTCTGGTCAGCTCGACAACTAATAGGCAACTCGGCCATCTAGTCAGCTCGGCAACTAATAGGCAGCTCGACCCTCTGGTCAGCTCGACACCTAATAGGCAGCTCAACACTCTGGTAAGCTCGGCACCTAACCTGCCTAGCTTGGCCCAGTTAGCTCATCACCTAACCTGCCTAGCATGGCCCAGTCAGTTCGGCACCTAACCTGCCCAGCTCGGCCCAGTTAACTCGGCACCTAATCTGCCCCCAGCTCGCCATCCAGGTCCTCATCCAGCAAAAGTTCACTTCGGCCTCTGAGTCATCGGCCACTTAGAAGCAGACCAAATGATGAGGTACTTAGCACAAAAAATTGATACATCACCAAAAAATTGATTCATCAATTGGCGCCGTCTGTGGGAAACGCTACAAAAAGCTAAGTTCTCATCCTCTGAAAGGCTAAGTCCTCTTCTTCCTGAAAGCTAAGTTCTCACATTTTAGAAAATAAAAGCTCTCACTTTCTAGTTTCCATTTTTTATGAACTCAAAGACTATGCAGGAAGTTGATGGCCAACAGACTAAGCAGCTCTACCAACTTTATTTCAACTCAGATAAAGCCTCATCAGTCCTCTTCGCGAGGTACCCTCTACAAAAATGAGCTCTTCGTGGCTTCCGCGGGAATAGGCGGCCAACAGACTGCATGGATGCCCCTGCCAGTCGAGCCTTCAAGGCTCCCGTGCGAGCTGGTGACCTAAAGACAGTAGTGCTGCCCCCGTAGGTCGAGCTCCTAGTAGCTTCTTGTAGGAGTGGGTAATCGACATCACTAACGAGGCTGATGCAGCGTAGCCGTAGCTCTAAGGTGTCAAGCTGATAAAAGACCTCGACACCACATAAGACCCAGTCGCCTCTTCAGCATGGGCAAAATCAAAGATCAAGGAGAGTGGACTACGAGTCGCTCCCAGAGCCTAAGGGCTAAAGTGCCAAATTGGCAAAGACTTTGGCACCACATAAGACCCAATCGCCTCTTCGGCATGGGCAAAATCAAGGGTAAGGAGAGTGGACTGCGAGTCGCTCCAAGAGCCTAAGGAATTGAATCGACGCTTACGAGCTCATCGAATTAGCCATTTCAGGCCAAAAGGAGCAATCTACTCCCTTCGCCGAGTTACTTTCAGGTCGGGAGTGGGGGGCAAATAATGAGGGCGGATTTGGCCCTTCAATGATATTGTGACACATGGCACCTCGGAACAACTAGGTGACACCCGGAACCACTTAGGCAACAACTTGCCTTA